CAACATACTCAAAAAACCTATATAAAATAATACTTTGGCAACATTCTCCAGCATAAACACAGTTTTAAACTCATAACTAAAATACCTGCAGACATGAGTACATCTGCTGGACTGTCACAATAGTTTGTAAGAAGACTGTGATCTGTCCTTAGATAAAAGGTGTTTGAATCTGGTGAGAAGGGGCAGCTTTGGACTGAGTTTCGTGGGAGCAAATGCTGTGACAATGTGTGCTTAAAACAGTTGGAACCACGTGACAGTAGCATTCACACTGCTTCACCCTGCACTGCCTACTGCACACCTTATTAGATGTGGTCATGTCTTCTTTTTGTGCATTTGCCTGAATAGTGAATATGTGCTGTAAGACTGTGGATTTAAACTTCTTGCCAGCCAGTCCAGGCTTTTGGAGTACTCAGTAGTCAGTATTATTCCAAACTAAAGAGCATTGCTAATAAATAAAGTGCATTCTAAATTTAGTGCTGGATCCTGTTGCATAATGTTACCATTCTTGTCACTGCCTAAATGACAGTTGTCAGCATCATCAGTAGTATCCTGGTTGCTTTCAGAGGAAGACAAAAAAACCCCAAAGCAAAAAAATAGGTACAGACCACTGAAAATAGTGGAATTATTTCATGAGGCTTAGGTAGCCCCTGGTGGCTGATCCAAATTGGTTAGGTGTGAGGTGTTTTTTTATTGAGGTGACTACAGACATAATAAACACACTTTTTTCCCTGGCAAAACATGCAGCAGAATTTCAAGTGCTAGACTCAGAATTTTTTAATGCAGTTTTAGTACATAATTTGTGAAGAGCAGGAGGTACCAAGCTGACCAGGGATGTGCTAGCCGTTCTGTCTTCTGTCATACTCAGTGTTTTGGAACTGAGGCCTTGGGAACTTAATTTAGCTTAGCACCACTTTCATTTTATAATTTATTCTGAAAGTTCCTGCCTAGGGTCAAAGTAATAGGCATCTGTGGATATAATGGCTTTAGACACAGGGTCTGACTGCTTATGCTCAGCCCGCAGCGCCTTTCACCACCTCTGTGCTTGACCATCCCCTGTGGCCCCTCTGTTCTACCATTACAGGAGTTTGTATACTGTTTGGT